GTAGATAGCTTTAGTATGTGCTGGGGGCCCAGCCTGGTAGCCTAGCAGCTGAAGTCCTCACCTTGCACATGCTGCAATCCCATATGGGCACTGGTTCTAATCCCAGTAGCCCCACTTCTCATTCAATTCCCTGCTTGTGGCCTGGGAAAGCAGTGGATGGTTCAAATCCTTGGGACCCTGCATCATGTGGGAGACCAGGCAGACACTTCTGGCTCCTGGCTTCAGATCGGTACAGCTCTGACCGTTGAACCCACTTGGAGAGTGAACCATTGGATGGAAGATCTTCCTTTCTGTGTCTCCTCCTCTCTGTATATCTGACTTTCCACTAAAAAAAATTAGTCCCCCAGAAAATTATCACATAGGTGCTTACACATACATTAACATGTATCTACTCTTTAGATAATTAGTAATGAAAATAATAAAAATAATTATAAAGAACTCTAAAATGATTGCCCTGAATTAAGGTAAAAATAAAGACTAAAAACAACAGTTTTTTTTCTCTTAATGTGTTAGGTATTCTATGTATCTAAATTACTCTGTGTTTGAACTACCTTGAGAAATCCTTAGAGTGCTTTGGATTTCCGAGTGTTAAGTCCTTCTCTACCAAAATGGTTTTTTGGCTGAAATTGAGTCTTTCCCTATCCCTCCTACTTGGGTTTGATTTTTGTGATTTGTTGTTGTTGTTGTTGTTGTTTTGGTTTTTGTTTTGTTTTGTTTTGCTTTGGCTTTTCATTGTAGTGGGTTCCAATTCATTTTCTGCTCTTATCTATATCATCTGACCTCCAGATATTAGAATCTGCTTTGCTTTTGGTTGTTTACAAGGACAAAAACAGTTAACTTTTGTATTGACTGAAATTGCTAATTAGAAAAACCCAAGATTTTCTTCGTTACATAGAATATTTTTCTCAAAGAAATAAATCATTAGCCTGTTTTTATTGCAAACGTGACTGAACTGGGGGAAAAAATTGTGCAGTGGCACTGTTTTTGTTTTTGGAGATACTGTAGTATGGCACATGTAGCCTAGCAAAGGCTATAAATCTAGGATGAAAAATTATGGTTGGCATCCATCTTAACAGTCTAGCAGAACACAAATCTCAAATTGTTTAAATACTAAATATTTACTTAAGAGAACGTTTAAAAATAGAGTAATTTAAGTTGTGAATTTGACTCATTTGTAAGATCACTTTTTTGGTATATCCTTTATAAAACTAGCAACGTTATCTGGCCATATCACAATACTCCCGTGTTGTAGTTTAAAGCAAAACACACATACAACATACACACACTTGGACGGAGGCCAAATTTAGGCTCTAGGGGCATTCTGCTCTGTACCTTAAATTACTATCAGATGTATGTTAGCACAGATCAAATTTTCAGTCTGAAGTTGGTGAGAAGCCTAATTATTTGAGCAGGTTACTATTTATGTAGACCATGCTATGGCTGTCTGTGGTTAATCCACAGCTGGCAGAATGCTAACTCTGTGAGGTTTTTATTTCATTCTGGAACAGTTTGGAGAGAAAAAGAGAGGGAAAGCTTTAAAGTCTTCTCATTAAATGAAAGATTGAAAACCGAGTACATACATATTACTATGGAGACAAGATGCTATATAAACTTTTCATTTTAATTCTCCGAGTGACAGAAATAGCAAAAAAAAACCAGCTTGGATGCTCATAATATGCAAGTGACATGATTATTTGGTTAAAGAAAAAAGGTGAAAACAGTTTTCAAGATGATACTTAAGACCTGCTTTTTTGTAAGAATTGTTGAGTGTTAATGGGTTGGAATTTTTAAATGAGGGCGAAGTATCATGTTATTATCATGGGAAGGCATAATTCTAGTAGAGTCTTGTTAGCAACACTCATTAAATGGCAATACACAGTTGAGGAGGGATTAATAGCTTTCCTTACCTTTTCATTGCAAAGATGTTGGTTGATGCCTCTAACAAAGACAGATTAACAAGAAAAAAAAAAGCATAACAAACTAATTTAGCAAAGTTTTATATGAAAAGGAAATCTTCGGGAATAAAGATTCAAACACTCAGGGGAAAATATGTTTTTATGCTAAGTCTGATGAAAGAAGTGAATGGCTATAGAGAAACACGTCTGACAGGAAGTGATCTAATGATAATAAACTAGGCGAGTTAGATTCTTCTTGACCTCCAGGCATATGGCAGGAACCTGCTGAAATAATTATCTTACGACCTAAGTCAGATCATTCCAGTATGGCCAGCTTTCAGACAGAAAGACAGAAACCCTCCTTCCGAAGGTAGATCCCGGTACACACGACTCCTGACAGAATTAAAGTTTGCTTGCTGGGCCCAGCGCAGTAGCCTAGTAACTTAAAGTCCTCGCCTTGCATGGACAGTGATCCTGCATGGGCTACGGTTCATGTCCCAGGTGCTCCACTTCTCTTCCAGGTTCGTACTTGTGTCCTGGATAAGCAACAGAGGATGACCTCAAAGCCTTGGGACCCTGCAACCATGTGGGAGACCCTAAGAAAGCCTGGCTCCTAGCTGCTGGCTTCAGATTGACTCAACTTAGGCTGTTACGGCCACTTAGGGAGTGAAGCAGCGGATGGGAGATCTTTCTCTTTGTAAATCTGCCTTTCCAATAAAAATAAATAATAAATCTCTCTTTTAAAAAAATTCGCAAACTGAAACTGGTTAGGGCCTCCGTTGTGTCGGGATGTGGCAGTAGCATTTTGGTAATTTTGGAAGAACTTCCTTTTATATATTCAGGATACTCTCAGTTTATAAGTTAGGCAGCTTCCCTTCTGCGTTCCAGTACCACCTCTTCCTCTGATTTGCCATAGTTATCCTCCATCCCGGGCTTCTTCATGTTTCTCCTTCTTTGCAAGAGGCTTCTCTTTCAAGAACTACAGTGCTCAAACCTCTCCTGTCCTTAAAAAAAAAACAGCTCTAATGTGCCATCATTTAAAAGCTTTCTCATATATTAATCTACTCAAACAAGAAGCATCCCAGGTAGAGTTCTCTAAATCCAGGTTCCATCCCATATAAACTGTGTGTGTGTGTGACCTGCAGGGAGTTTCTTCACGATCTTGTTTGTTTTATTTGTGAAATAAGTCTAATGATGCTATATGCCAGGTCAGTTTGAGATAAAAGTTGTTCATAACAAGGTATGTGTAAAAATAACTGTTAGCACAGTGTCAGACACATAAGGATTGCTCAGTAACTTTCAGATTCAGAAAGCTCTCACAATAATTATAATCCTTCTCTTTCCACCGCTCCTGCTCACGCTGCCTGATTTTACTGTCACAGTAAATGCTTCCTCCTGATCGGCAACTGTGAGTTGTTCTGTTTTCTTCCTGTGCCACTCAATAACCATGAGCACCTTTAAACAACTTGAAATCACTGGCTGGATTTCTCTTTCATCATCACTTCCCCTGTGTCCTCTTTGTCCCTTTCCCTCTCCTCCATGCTCTAACTTTGTAAATTGTGTCCTCTTGTCTAGTGTTCTTTCCACAGGTAGTTACAGCCCCTTTAACCCCATGTCCTAACTCAGACTTTCCTCTGAGTTTCTCGACACCTCAGCTGTCATGTAACCACAACTCAACACTGTCTTTACCGTCTAAGCCGCATCTTAATCCAGATTTTTCTGTTTCCCCTAATGATAGAACCAGTTGTAAAAATCGTTGATTTTTGGAGTCTTCTCCTTTGCCTTGTATATTTTAAACAAGCAGAAAATTCTGTTTGTAATTCTCCTAGTGTGACTTCCTTGTGCACAGCCAAAAACAGACTGCTAGTAACTGACGATTTCGTTACTGTCTGAATGGACTTTTCCTTACATCTCTTTTAAGCTGGATACTCATTGCTTTGTTGATTCTCATTTCCTTGAAGCAAAGCTTCATTACCCATTCTCTCTCTCCCAGATTACTTGCCAAACAGACTCTTCGTCTGACACCCAGGGCCCTTTGTGTTCTTAGCTCATTTTTCTAGATTCATCCTCATGTTATTGGCACTCGAGCATTCCTTTACTGACTTGTCCACTGGCTACACTCATGCCCTATATATACATCCGCATCTCATTATATTTTTGTCTAGAAAGCATGAATACATCATAATAAAGTTCTTTACTAATATTGGAGACATAGATAGTGTTTTAAACAGTTTTTACATGTTTTAATAAAATGCTTTTGTTACATTATTATTATTTCCTCGTTAGTTAAAAATTCTACTTCAAAATCCTGGAAATTACATTTAAGATGTTGCTTGGATCTAACGCAGTAGGCCTAGTGGCTAAAGTCCTCACCTTGCATGTGCTAGGATCCCGTATGGGCACTGGTTCGTATCCCGGCTCCTCCGCTTCCTATCCAGCTCCCTGCTTGTGGCCTGGGAAGGCAGTGGAGGATGGCCCAGGGCCTGGGACCCTGCATCCGTGTGGGAGACCCAGAAGAAACTGCTGGCTCCTGAGTTCCTCGGATCCGCTCAGCTCTGACCGTTGTAGCTAATTGGGGGAGTGAAACAGGATTGTGGATGTTTCTCTCTGTCTGTCATTCTCTCTATAAATCTACCTTTCCAATGAAAATGAAACAATTTTTTAAATTGTATAACTATTTTTAAAAAGCTATTTCTTTAGGTAGTTACAAACTGTGATCTTACTAAGTAAATTTTTTCTAAGTAATTATTAAAATTCAGGCTGTTCATAAGTCTCTAGAAGGATCTAATCGGCCTTTACTTATTTCAGTGAGTGAGTCTTTCCAATATTTTATATTTTTGTAGGTTCTTGGGGTTCTTTCAGTATTGAGCATATAAGTGAAATATGTGCTATTTATCCTGTTAAGTAATAGCATGTATTAAGTATACTATACTCGTGTTGCAAACCTTTCTACTAATTAAATGCTATCTTCTGCTTTGCATTGTATAATGGTATTTTATGTGATTTTCCTTTTTAAATTTTTCATTTTTTTTATTCTTGCCAAACTGTGTGGGGGGGGTGCATTCTTTATTTTATTAATTTTTCTTCCCTTTTTTCTTGAACCAGGGCTTTTTTCTTACCGTATCCCCAGAGTCAGTATTGAAAGTGGCTCAACATGCTTCTGAGAACAACAGGATTTTCACTTTGAATCTGTCTGCACCATTTATTAGCCAGTTCTACAAGGAATCATTGATGAAAGTTATGCCATATGTTGACATACTTTTTGGAAATGAGTCGGTAAGCAAAAATACCCAGTTTGTTGTTCTTACTTTGTGTATATGTTTAGAAATATGTAAATGAGAAAATATTTGCCTGAGTGTCATTGAGAATTACACAAGAGCTGTTATCACTTAATATTGCCAACATTTCTTTATCAACTTCTTTTTTAATATTTATGTCTTTGAAAGATAGGGTGAGAGGGAGAGACACAGAGAGATTTTCATTCCATTGGTTTTTTCCTCCAATGGCCACGACATCCAAGGATGGACCAGCTGGAAGCAGGAGCCAAGAGCTTTCTCTGGGTCTCCCTTGTGGATACATGGAACTAGGACTTTATCAGTATTCTGCTGTTTTTCTAGGTTCATTAGCAGGAAGCAGAATCAGAAGTAGAGCAGCCAGGATTCAAACAGGCACCCTTATGGAATCCCAGATTTGTAGGTAGCAGCTTCATTTGCTATGCTACAGTGTCAGCTCTATTCTAAGCTCTTAGCATAAATTTTTTAAAGATTTAATTTTTTGATTGGAAAGTCAGATTTACAGAGAGCAGGAGAGACAGAGAGAAAAATTTTCCCTCTGCTAATTCACTTCCCAAATAGCCACAGTGATCGAAGCTGAGCTGATCTGAAGCCAGGAGCCAGGAGCTTCCTTCAGGTCTCCCACATGGCTGCAGAGTCTCAGGATTAGAACTAGTGGCCATATGGGATCCCAGTGCATGCAAAGTGAGGATTTAGACTCCGACTACTGTGCTGGGCCCCAGCAAATACTGTTAAGATGTGTTTTTTGAGGTTTTTAGTAACCTGTAGTAAAATTCAGCCTTTCTACTGTATCCTGTCAGTTTTTGCAAATGCATATCTGATCTATTACATATCAAAGAGCACTTTTCCTCTTTTTGGCTCTTCAAAATCAGGGACTATTTAATTTTAGTTTAATAATGGTAAGCAAATGATGTATTATTGTTGGTATTGCAGTGCATGATTAGTAATATCATTGCTGCTGACGTTTCTATAAACTCATACTTTTTTCTATGTTTTTATTTTCTATGTTTCTGTGTACTCTAAATTATAATAAAAATTCTATAAAAATATGTTTTGCTTGTTTGGCATAGCTTATGTATAATCTGTAGTTTATTTTATGAAAGCAGAAAAAAAATAGACCTTCAGTGTATCTTGAAGTGAATGTTGACCTCTGAACTTTTATAACATGCAAGAGTTTTATTTGAAAAACACATCACATAAGTTTATCCTGACTCCATCCTTGTAGTTTTAAAATAGATTGAATGAATCGATTGATTTTATATTTAACATAACTACACTATCTTCTTAGAATAACATAAAAATTGATCACAAAATAATTTGTGTGATCACCTGGGTAGAGATTAAAGAACTTAATTATTTGTAGAATTAATGTCATGGTGTCAGTAACTGCAAATGCAGTCATCTCTGGAAGGAAATGCTATATCCTTGGCAATTAACAAAGTGACATAATGGCGGGGCCCGGCACTGTGACCTAGTGGCTAACGTCGTCAACTTGAATATGCCAGGATCCCAAGACTTTGGGACCCTGCACCCATGTGGGAGACCCAGAGGAGGCTTCTTGCTCCTGCTTCAGATTGGCACAGTTCTGACCATTGCAGCCACTTGTGGAGTGAATCAATGGACAAGATATTCCTCTTTGTTCCCCTTTCTCCCTGTGTATCTCACTTTCTAATATATATTTTTTTAAAAAGTCAGCTAAAAAGTTAGCATCTGTATGAGTGTATGTTTAGTATCTGCTTCTGGTTTTTCATCTGCGTTCCTGCTCGTGCAGACCCTGAGAGGAACAGTGATAACACAATTAACTGGGTTCCTGCCACACCCCTGGAAGACCTGGCTTAAATTCTCAGCTCCTGGAATGATCCCGGCTTAGTCCAGGCTGTTGAGGGCATTTCAGGTAATTAGCAATTGAGAGTTCTCTGTCTCTCATGTGAAATTAAAGGGAAAAAAAAGCAGAAATTTACTGATAAATAAATTTCTAGTGAAGTTGCTTAGTACTCTGAGCTTTGCTCAAGTAACCTGCCAGTGATTCTGGTAAAAACTTTATCTGCATATAGTACAAATGGAAACAATACAGCTCCTTAATAAATGTCAAATTAAGTTGAATATCAAAATCAAATGTCCAAGACTGTTAATGGACTGGAAATATCAATTGAGTTATGAAACTTAATAGGGTAATAAAAATGATACCGTATTTGATTATAAAAAGCAAGTAGGGTAATATAAGTTTTATCTCTTTAATCTCATACCCATTGTTCTTGAGTATTAAAATAATAATGAGCTATCTTCAGTTCTTTACCCAAAAAAAGAGATATAAATGTGAGGAAATATAAAATACATTTCTCAAGAGATATATATGTATATAATTGTTTTATATCTTCCTTCCCCATCATAAAAAAGAAACTTGTTAGTGTAAATTTTCTGTTTTAAAAAATATTTATTTTTATGTGTAGACAATGAAATGTGCTAGACTATCTGACATTGTCTGTACCAGCAATGTTGGGGCACACTTAAATAATAGACTGATGAGTCATGACTCCTTACGAAGGACTATTCGATTATAACAGCATGTGGAAAATCAGTCAGAAGGTGGGATTTGGTGAGGGGCGCAGAATCCCAGACTCTATAAAATTGTACCATGAAATTCAAGAATTCAAAACAAAAATTTTGAAAATATTTTTATTTTAAAGGCAGAGACACACATACATATACACAGAGAAACAGACCCATTTTCTTAGATTCTTGCAGTCCACTGTTCCTAGCCCACGCCCTCTTTGCAGCCTGTTGGGGAGTAGAGCAGCAGATGAAGATCTCTGCGTTAGTCTGTCCTTCAAATAAATAAAATAATTTTTGAAAGAAAACTTCCCTTTTCAAAAAATAAACACTGATTCAAAAGTAATTTTAGCAAGTCATACAACACTATATTTAAAAAGATAATTTATCATAACAAGGAGTGTATACTTGCTTTTACTTTTTAAACAATTCATTTGTATAATTCATACCAAAGAGACAATGTATATGATTATCTCTGTAGACGCAGAAAAGCATTTGACAAAATCTGACATCCATTACTGAAAAAAAAAAAAATACTGAGTGCAAAGAAACTTTGTGAACTCCATGCAGATGTCAAAATCATACTTGATGGTGAAAGAACAGGAGCAAATTAAGTATATTTAATCTCCCCTTCTGTTCAGCATTGTGGTACAGATTCTAGCCAGTGTTAATAAAGCAGGAAGAACATCCAGATTAGAAATGTAGAGCTGGCATTGTGGTGTAGTGGGTAACACTGGCCCCTGAGAGACTGGCATCCCATATGGACATTTTGGTTTGCATCCTTCCTAATCCACTTTCAACCCAGTTCCCAAGTAATGAACCAGGGATACCAATAGAACTGACCTAAGGGCTGGACCTCTGCACCCGCATGGAAAACTAGATGAAGCTCCTGGCTTCTACCTTTGGACTGGCCCATCTCTGCCTCTAACAGCTATTTCAGGAGTGAAGCAATGGATGGAAGCATATCTCTCTCTCTCTCTCTCTGCACAACTTAGAATTTTAAATAATTTTTAAATGAAGAAATACAGCTTTTTTTAAAAAAAAAAGATTGTTTTATGTATTTTTATTTGAAAGGCAGATTTACAGAGAGAGTGAGAGCATTATCTTTCCATCTGCTGGTTCATTCCTCAGTGGCCACAACAGCTATAGCTGATCTGATCCAATGCCGGGAGCTTTCTCCAGGAATCCCACGTAGCTGCATAGGCCCAAGGGCTTGAGCCATTCTCCACTGCTTTCCTAGGCCATAATAAGGGGGCTGGATCCAGAAGTAGAGCAGCAGGGACTTGAACTGTACTCATATGCACTGCTAGTGGCGTAGTTGGAAGCTTGGTATAGTGTGCCATATTGCCACCTCTCCTCCCTGCCGCCCACAATGGATTTTTCAACAAATTTTCTGAGGCAGTTTTATGAAGAAAGAGTATTCTACTTAACAAGTATTTCCAGAGCAGCTGCTTATCCATATCCACAAAAAGGAAAAACTTCAATCCAGCCCTGACCATTGCTGCCATTCAGAAAGTAAAGCAGCAAATGGAAGATCGCTCTCTTTCCTCTCCTGCTCTTCTTACTCCATTTCCCTGTCATTCTGCCTGTCGGTGGATAAAAACAAATCTTCAGGGAGTGAAAGAAACAAACTTGAGAATGTCTATGAGCAGCAACATGATCCAAAATCTTTATGATGTTTTGCATACCTGCAAATAATACACATGAAACAAAATGAAATATTTGATTCTAAAAGTAGTTTTTGTTCTCTTCACCTAATTATCTTTCTAGTTCAGTCCCCTACCCCCAAATGATGAAAGCCAGGAACTCAATCCAGGTCTCCCACCTTAGTGGCAGGAAACCAATGGCTTGAGCCATCACTGCTGCCAACGCTGCCTCCCAGGCCTAAGTTGAGTGGCAGGTAGAGTTAATAGCCGGTGCCAGGAATTCAACTTATGTACCCAGATATAAGACATGGATGTCTTCATTGGCAACTTAACCACTGGATTAAGCACACTTGCCCTTAATTAGGTTCTTTTTCATTATTAGTGCAGACATGTATGATGCCTTTTGAGTGCTGTTTTTCCTATATATTGCCCTGCTGTTTGTTCTATTTGCCCAGGAGAAATGATATTCTTCTCCAAGAAATATCTGAAAAATTTGCTTGGGCTGAGACAGAATAAAAGTATCCATAGGAATAACATTGCCATATGATGACATAATGCAGTATAACTAATAAATTGCTTATTTACTTTGTTTTAAAATATATACATAAAATTGATCATTTCAACCAATTTTGCGTATGTGAATCGTTGACATTAAGTTCATTCACAGTGTTAACCCTTCACCATTGTCCTCTTGTTCTGTACTGGTTCAGTACCTGTGTATTCCATGCAACCCCATCCGTGGCCTTGGATAACCACTGTTCCACTGTCTTGTAACTTTGCCTGTGTT